TATGTCAGAAGAGAAAACAATTGCTTCACCTTTGTATTTTGTTGATAAATACAAGTTATACAGTAACTTAAAATCCACATTAAATATCCTGTTTTCCCACTGTGGTTCCTTAAAATTAAGGTCTCTAAAGATGTTCTGCTTTCAGTTAAATTACTTAATTCTCTGTGACTTACTTCATTAACGTGTACATTTATGTTAGTGCTAAAAATTGTAACACTGTCTGGCAGGGTAACAGATGTTAAGCAGTGCTTACTCTGCATTGTATTATTAAGCTAAGATCCATTTTCAACAATTGCATCTAAGGTATTTGAGTTCCAGTAACTACAAGGTGAAATGATTGAGTAACAGAATAAAGAACTACTACAAAACAGTGGTCTTTGTAACACTTGTGTTGACCTGATATCTCTTTAATACCTCTCTTACATTGTTGCTTATTGCCACATCATATTTTATAATTTGTTAACCTTTTAGTTCATAAAGATCAGTTGCTCCCTATAAACTTTGAAAGTGATGCACCAAGTTGCCTGTAAATGATATAACTAATAGACCACATGTCCCTCGAGAGTGACTTTTACAAGAAACATCTCTAGCATGCGAGTCAAATGCTTAAAAAATGGCCATTATCAACACAGCAACTAATACCCACAGAAATACACCCAACTGTTAAAATATATGACCTATATTGTTCTGACTGATATCAATGACTCAAAAGCTCTTTTCAGGCCCATACAGTATTGATATCCCTCAATGGTAGGCTCCCCATGGACATTACCAGTGTAACTTTCACTGTATTCTAGTTGGTAATCTTCCTCTAGTACTATAAGCATTGATGGTAAATCTGCTAGCAGTAAAAAATGATGGTCTTGATAATTGTGACAAACTGCTATACAGTTTACTTCCAATATGCATTATTTGTTTCAATTCATCAAGATTGCCTATTCCTTTCATATTGTGGTATATCAATGCACATAAACTCATTGCAACACATTGTTGCCCAGCATTTTGTCCAAATACAACAACATCCCCTTGACTATATGGTGCTTTTATTATTTTCCTGGGATCCACAAGGTGCATACAAGGAACAGGGTTTCTCTATATCATTAATTATAGAGCTTGTTCTTTGTACAATTGCCTCTGTGAATTACACCCTTGTACTCACTATATGGGAAATTACACAAAAAGAACCTTAAGTATTTGAGATATTTCTTTCCATGTTTATCTCTGCTTGAATTGCAGACATATCTCATTGAAGAGTTAACGTTTCTTGTTCTAAAAATTGGTTTCCTTCTCATTTTTTGTACAAACCTGATTCTTGTTTTATGTGTACTTTTTTTTCATGTTGCATTATTTTTAATAAGATCATGGAATTTCGTTGACTTTGGTACGTTTTTACTTAAACGGCTCCGTACATACCTCTGCAGTATTCTGATTTTCTGAGAGAGACGTTTTAACATCCTTACTGGTACTCTGCTTGGTTCACGATCATGTGTATAGCCATGGCATTCACACACAACACGAGTACGATTATAATATACAGACTTTGCACGACGAGATCTGAATTGTTGTACTTTTATTGACACTGTAATATCATTATGTTCGTGTACATTAGTCATATTGACAACTTTTT